TTTTTTTGTATGGCATGATTGCTTTGGTTATTTCTGTTTTTTACCTTTTTATTTCGGTTTGCTTTGAAATGAAGAGACAATGGAGGCAGCGGATCGTGGCGGTGGTTACAGAGAATGTTAAGTAGACATTCTAAGCTAATCTTATGGACACTAGTTCCAAGTTAGCTGTGAACATCTATGAGATTGTAATGCTGATTACAAATCATCCATTGTCGTTGTACGTTTGAACATGATTCAGAGTCAGTTAACAGGATATAAAGAATCTTCTGAAATTGAGAGGGAAATAATTATTTCAAAATGGTATGGTGGTGCGCATTTATCAATTTCTGTCTGGTTGGCCCCATAGTTCAACCTACCCTACCTGTGCACCTTGAAGCTGAGTGTCACATCTGGGCTTCCTAGCAAATAAAAATAGCAATTTTAAGGGCTCAAAGGAAAAAGATCTGTTGGCACTACTGATTCAGTCAATAACTCATTATTTTTGTATCAAGGGACTCATGATAGCAAAAGCAGGCCAACAAAAACCTTACTAAACCGACTCAAGACATCCTGTTTCTGGTACCATCGGGCTACCTTAGTGATGCCTATCAAATGTTTGAGAGTTGTTATTTGAGTACTACACGAGTTGCTCGATGAAAATGTAAGCATCTCACGTGTTTCTTAATGTCTTGCCTGTGGACTAAGTGAGACACATGAACCTCCTTTTGGGGATGGAAAAAATTGGAAATGAAGGGCAAGTCTTGTACGGACTTGGGCTGATTTGGGACATTTAGTTAAGAGCATGTCTGGGGAGCATAGTTTACTTCTATTCCCTTCCTATTTAGGGTGTCTTTTTTTCAATTTGAAATTTTGAGAACCACTGAAGAATTACTTGATGATTATTCTTTAAACAAATTTTGAAATTAGAGTTTTCACAACACTTGGATCTCACAATCTAAACATTGGATGGTCCTTTCCCAATCTTGAAACATTTTTTTCAAGTGTACATATGATAAAATTAGGAAAAAATTTTATTGAGTTCAATCTATGGGTTGATGAGGTTATATCCCCCAAAAATTGGGTTCTAAAACTAGATCTAGCTGGGGTTTACCGAGGGAATAAATTTTTTGGCTTTAGAAAATGTCTTGAGAAGTCTTTGTTCATGACGGGTGCTTTCTGTCTCAATGTACATCCCATCCTTGTGCCAGCAAGGCCTTTGTGGAGGGATCCACATGAGATCAGAGTCAGTCAATGCAAAAGCAGGGGTCCATGAGTAAAGAAGGTTTAATAGCTAGGCTTGACAATGGGACTTGGTGGACCACCAAGACCATGATGTTCGATCCATGATTAGCATGGCTTAAAAGGACCTGTCCAACTCTTGGTACAAGAGGTGTGATGGACCATAAGCCTATGCTAAGCATGTGAATTGGCTGTAACTGTCAGTTATAATCGTATAGCTGTCCTAAAAACGGGATCATGTAATAGCAATAGGCCATGTGATAGGTGGTAATGTAAATGCTATAGCTTTGTAATGCTCGCTATGTTTAATGACCATGCTCGGTGGGGTAATGACCAATGGAGTTAATTGACTAGACTCTCATCCCCTCCTTAATTTGCCATGTTGACATGCCCTTGATCATAACGCGCACCTTCATTTGTATTGTTGCTGAAAAATGTATGTATGAGGGCATTGTAAATAGGCTAGTTGGTGCTTTGGTGAAAAACTTTTAAATTGTGCACCCGGCTCGAACCCAACTCATTGTCCGTTCCCCTTTAAATCATTTTATTTACCTAATGCATATTATTTATCCAGATTATCCTCACCTTCGTGTTCTTTGGCTCGGCATATTTTTTTCTCTAATGTGAATGAGATAAGGTTCCAAGAAATCTACCATTATTGTGATTTGTAGTTATGGTCTTCTGCAAAAAGGCTTTTGATGTTATGATCCCAGTTCACATGAGCTCTGTATTTTGCGCCAAGTCTCTTTATTTGATCTCTCACTGATTCCATTGAGGATGATTCTTCTTGTCAAACCTCAATTGATTTTGCTAGCCCCAAGTTCCTCCTTCCTTCCCCTTGAAGGATCTTAAGGTTCTAGTGGGTACATGATGTGCCATCTTCATTCTGCATCTCATTACTGCGATCCACAACTCACCCTCATTGAATGTTGCTAGCTTGAATGAGTATGTTCTACACCTCAACATTTTGGAGACTTCGACTGGTTCTTGACCACTGCTCTTTCTTCGTGAGCCCGAGTCCTATAAATAAGTTTGTATGTGATCCAAACTGGCAGCAAGATATAAATAAACTAAACGCCTCATACAAATTCATACAGAGGATCTTGTTCTATCTCCTAGAATGTTTGTAATTGGCTACAGGTAGATCTGCAAAACAAGGACTACATCAGATGGATCTCAGTTAGGCGCAAAATAATTTATTTAAGAGTATGGCATTGATTATGAATAGACATTTTGATGCAAGAAAACTTGAGGGCAGCAAGAAACAAAGCTACACACAAACACAATTCAAAGAAACCTAGGATTTCTTCTCCACACCCTAAACTAGGGTTTCAAGAGCCTAAGCTTTACTCTATTTCAATTTCTAAAAATCATGTGGAATTGGCACTCTCAAGGCTCACACACCTCTTATATACTATAATTTAATTCTCAAAGTACAAAAATCGTCCAAACAAATAATACATTAACCAATATATCCTAACTTAAGTTGCTTTAATAGACAACAATATTGTTGACACTTTACTTGATGAATATCACACTTTATAGCAGGAGAACATCCATCCGATCCTACACATACCGGCCTATTGTTGGAGGTCTTATTTATTTAAACATTTCTCACATTGATATTAATCATACCATCCATACGTGTGTCAATTCATATTTGCTCCCCATTTTCTTCACTATGATATTGTGCTTTGAATCTTATCTTATGTTTAAGGTACTCTATTTTAGGGTTTGTGTTACGACCCTACCCCCTGACCCCTACCGTACTTACCAGAAGGCAACAGAGTGCAAGACCGCGACCAGAGGCACTATATTACCCTCCGATAAGTACGGTAGGGGTCGTGACAGTTAGACCTTGTCTTCTATCTCCACTCCTGAATTTTGGGTTTATTTGGATACAGATTCAATATTGGATTTTTTTGTTTACATGGATGAGTTATTTATCTCATGGAAAAATAAGAAACACAAGGTGTTTGCTCGCTCAAGTGCTGAAGTTGAATACCGGGCTCTTCCACATACTGCAACTCCTTCTTGAAGATATTGGCATTGTTCATTCGGGTTCTACCGTGCTTTTTGTGATAACAAAAGTGCAATTCTGATTGCTCATAATGACATATTCCATCAATGAATAAAACATATTAAAACTGACTGTGCCTTTGTTTGCCATCAATTTCTTTAGGCACTCTTAATCTACCTCTCATTTTTCTGACGATCAAATGGAAAATATTCAAACAAAGTCCCATCCAGCTGCTCCTTTTTATTGCTTATTATTCAAGCTCTAACTGTTCGTATCTTGAGTTTGAGAGGCAGTTGTTATGGAAAGCATATATTATGGATATGGCTGTTATGGAAAATGTATATTATGGACAACGGGGTAAGTGTAATGTCTTGTATTTATGGGAAGCATGGGGATAATAAAAATAGTCATAATATCTTTTTATTCTTGTCAACTATTGCTATACAGATATATATGGTTTGTATGTTCAATTAACACATCAATATAGAGTGTTCTCAGATATACTTGGTATTCTTTCAATACTATAAGTTAGGCAATCCTCTCATTCCTTGTAGTACCTGGAAGAGCCTTTTAAAAGCCTTCCCATATATCTTGATGTGGTTCTCTCTGGCTCGCAACATCAATCCTAAGAGTTGTTGAAATCACACATGCACCAGTGGACCTATTATTTCACACAATCCTCCATTGGGTGTGGTTTATATAAGGCACAATGCTCATTAAACAGGTGCAAAGCAACATGAAGATTCAGTTTGCCATGCTTTTTTTATTTATTTTTTCTTCTTGATTCTTCTATTAACTCCATGTGAATTGCTGAGATCACTTACCTCTTTTATATCTCTATAACAAACTATTGTGCTAAGCCAAAAGATTTATGTTCTCATGGAGCATACTATGCGTTTACTCCCCCAAATAGATACCAATATAGGAATAATTTTAGGAGCCCTAAAATTTGGGGATGTAACCTCTTAAATCCATAGACTAATCTCAATAAAAAAATTATTAAATTGAACTCTCTTTGTACTAGAAAACAAATAATGTCTCAAAAATGAATAGAGAGTGTCCAATTTTGAAGCGCCAGACACAAAACTCAAAATCCAAATTTTTTCTTTTGAAAATAATCATTTAGTGATTCTTCCATGAAGTTCAGACTAAAAAAGAAAAATCCTCCCAAAGTATGTCTTTTTAGTGAGGGAGTAGATGCACAATATTGCTCCCACAGAAGTACAATATATAAACTATTGTGCTAATGGTATATTTTACCTTTTTAAGAAAAGGAAAACGTTTATATAGAGCCCACGTAAACAATTTTATTCGAAGAGGTTGTTTTGATGCCTAAATATTCTCAAACTTATCATCTGGACATCAAGATGCATAAATATGAGAAAAAAATGGAATTCAAGTTTTGAAAATAGTACGTCTTATAAGGCATTTTTTGACCATCAATTTTCAAGATTTTTAAATTTTCTTAGATACGTTCGATCTGCACTAATTTTAAAGCTTTAAATTTTATAATTAAAAATAAAAATATATTTTAATACTATCACAAAGATTTATTGAAACCACATTTTTTGACACTTAGAAGGTGCGTTTTACTTTGATTGTTTAGAGCCTCGGCTCTAGACAAACCGCACCCCAAAAGAAAAAAGTTCTATTCCTAACCCACTTTGACTTTCCTCTCTCTCTTTCTTCATAACTCACTTTTACTCTCTCCTCCCTCTTGGTAGAACTATCCATCGTGCTTTTTTGTGAATGGAGTGATATTTTTTCTTCTTAAGAAAAAATAATAGAAAAGAATAAAAAGCAACGGAGTGATGTTCACGTAAAGGCGACGTAGTCTAACAGCAAAAATACCTTCATGATCAAAGAACCTCCTCAAATTTGGTCAAGTAGACCCTTCAAAGTCAAGACGGAAAATCCCTCGGTCAAATGGACGAATTTTTTTGGTTTTCCCTTATTTAATATTGGGACTTAACATCAACCACAATATACATAGATTGCTTTTTTTTTAAAAAAAAAAAGGAAAATAGTTTTATAGGGCTGCAGTTCTATCAAAACAAGTAAAGCCTCTCCTCAAAACTCACCAAAACTTGCAATTCAAGCATTATAAAATTTTACATCAATCATCTTGCTTGAACATTATGGTTGTGAAAAAAAATAGGATTACAAGGTCTAAAAATAATGCATATTATAACAAATTATCTGGATCGTCCATTCACCTTAAAAATAAGTGCTTATAGATATGCAAGATCTATACCATTTTTTGAGTTTCGAATTTCATTGTCGATGTTGGGAAATGATTTTAGATCTATCATGGAGATTTCTATTGCCGAAAGTGCTCTCCAGACAAGGATTTGAGGAGGGTTTATTTTGTTTTAATAAGGCCTAGGCTTTAAAGAAACCTCAATCAATATCAATGACAATAAACAACAAATACTTCATGAAAATGTGGTTGAACTAGTCCACACGGCTCAATAATTGCTAAAGCATATAAAGCTGCATTTGCCTTCCCTCAAAAACCAAACTTTATGGCTTGCCCTAGCCACAATGGTTCAAACCATGCCATTTGTGTCCCTTCTTTTCGTTTGTTCCCTTCTTCTTATTCCTCATCTTTTTGGGTTCGTCATGGCTCAAAACCAAAAGCCAGACACAGGAAGAGGTGGGAGTATTGGGGTCATCTTGGATTTGGGCTCAAGAGTTGGAAAGGAGATGAAAACTGCCATGGAAATGGCAGTAGAAGATTTGCAGAGGTCAAAGTCTTCATCAGTCCAATTGCTTGTGCAAATGAGGGACAGTCATGGAGATCCTCTTCAAGCCGGTTCTCAAGGTTGGTGCCAACCACTTCATTTATGTCAAATCAAGTTGGACACACCATTAGAGTAGCTTAAAAAAAGGAAAAAGAAATTTTATTGGAAAAAAAAAAGAGGAAAAAGAAAGTAATTTTTTTCTTAGCAGGAAGTTCTTTGGTTTTTTATCCAAGCAAAACAATAAATTGAGTAATTTACACCTATATCCTACTAAAGTCCTGTTATTTAAACAATATGTATATTTTTGCGTCACCATATTTATATACCAAATTAAAAAAAAATGACAGTTTTGCCTCTACTTCGAACTTTGAGAATCTAAAGTCTGCAAGGAGGCCAAAGTGTACTTTGAAATTTGCAACCCCCAAGTATTTTAGTTTAGCAAATACTTCAGAACTCGAAAATCTGAAGTATTTTAGCCGGACAAATATTTTAGAATTTTTAAAATTTGTACAATTTCAAGTTCTGCAGTATTTACTCAACCAAAATAAATCATATTTTCAAATTCGAAAGTTTTCACAGGCCTCTTTGCGGGTGTCACTGGTTGGATGTCTATAAATTTTAAACTTCGGAATCTCAAAACCCGAAATAGGGGCAATATCATCATTTTTTAAAATTGTGAACAACTTGTGTAGATACATAATAACATAAAAATTTTAATATTTTTTTAAATAACGTTATTTTAGGAGGACATATGCATAAATTACTCTAATAAATTCACCCGTCCAAAATGGGATTGCATTGTCATGTCTCATGATACACCTCAGAGGAGTTGATGGGATTGCCCATTGCATTGCCATGTCTTTTGTTTCTCCCTGATTCACCTATAAGAACCAACCCGTACCAAGTCGTAAAAAAGAATTATGGAACCTCAGTGTTCTCAAGGTCACCATGCTGCCATTGCAGTTGCTCCAAAATAATATGTATTTTAGCTTTCATATTCCAATTTATAAAAATACATGTCCTGTTTGAATTTCAATTTAAAAAAACGTGTTTAGAAAATTTTAAGTTTTGTTAGCAAGGAAAAAAACCCAGATTTGAAAAATATCATTTAACTTTTAGTAAGTGTGAAAAATATTTTCATGAAAGTATTTTTACACGAAAGAACTCTTCTATATGATTCGTGTGAAAGTCTTTATACTAATTGACTGTGAATTGATGTGAAAATTGCGCTACGATCAATTAGTATCAAAAACTCCAATATCTAATTGTACAGAGAATTCTTTGATGTGAAAATACTTTTTTCATATATACAAACCCAAAATCCTCTTACAAAATCGCTGAGAAGTCAAAATATTGCTATTAAGGGTTAACAAAAAAGAGTCAATAAGAGGCATCGATAAAATATTTTATATTAATTGCAATCCGATTTCCCAAAACTTGTTACTCTCGGTAAAAGTCGCTCTCGAGTTGGATAGGGGGATCTTAAAATCGATCGTGAAAGCAACATTAGTTTTTTTTGTGATTATTAAATGGACACGGTTTTTGTGCGGCCAGCCCGTATATTGTAGAAATGTAGGCTTGGCTTAAATATATTTTTTAAATTTAATTTGATCCGAGAATACATAATTTTTAACATGGAGAACATGAATATGAGAATAAAATTAAAATTAAAAAATTAAAAATAATAATTATATTAAAAAAACATTTAAACCGTTGGTTACCCTTGTTTTTAGATGAACCATTTGCATCTAGATGCTTTGACAGCATATAATGTGGACTTTTCTCCAGCCATCGATCTCTTCACCGACGAGATCATAGCCCTTGTTGCCGTGCCCACGTGGCCAGAAGCCGCTTTCGTTGCTCAACTCGCCACAAGATCACAAATACCCCTCGTATCCCTCTCCGCTCCCGCACCGGGCCCACCAAGCTATCCTTTCGTCCTCCACGTGTCAAACAACTATTTGCTGGAGATGCAGGCCATAGCGGCCATGATCGCCTCCTATGGCTGGAGGCGAGTCAACTTCATCTACGACCTGCACTCGGGCGATGTAATACTCGCCTCACTAACTGAAGCACTCACAGCCGTCGGATCTGAGATCGATCAACGTTCTGTCTTTCCGGAATTGAAGTCGCTATCCGAGTCACCAGAAAACGACATCAAAGAAGAGCTCCAAAGACTGAAGGCGAGTCAAACGCGAGTCTTCGTGGTCCATACCGCTTCTATGGCCTTGGGCAGTCTCATTTTCCGTGAGGCAAAGAAAATGGGGATGATGGAGCAGGGATATGTGTGGATTGTCACTGATTCTCTCTCCTCTCTCCTCGAATCCATGAATTCTTCTACAATTTCTTCAATGCAAGGGGTTCTTGGAGTCCGATCGTTCTTCTCTGAAACTCATGAAACTAGAGCTTTCTCTTTGCGGTTTCAAAGGCGGTTCTTGATGGAGTATCCAGAGGAAGAGTGTGGAAAACCTAGCATCCATGGGTTGAGAGCTTACGATACAATCAAGCTTCTAGCTCAATCAATGCAGAAGAGCACAGAAACTCGAAGAAATCATGGGTCTACCTTATCTCCCAAATATGAGACACAGACTATTTGGAATCTTACCATTTTTGAAGAGGGGCCAACATTGTTAGCAGAGATTATATCTACTGAGTCAAGAGGGCTAAGTGGGGAGATTATGTTCAGGAACACAGAGGTTCAGGGTTTAGGGGTTGTTGAAATTGTGAATGTGTTTGGAAAAAGTTACATAGAGAAGGGGTTTTGGAGGCCTGAGCTTGGGTTCTGGAGAGATGGAGAGCGCAACAGTAGCTCAATGCATGTCTTAGGGCAGGTGACTTTTCCTGGTCCCTCGTATGTTACTCCAAAGGGCTGGGCGGAGCCTAGTGATGGAAAGAAGATGAGGATTGGGGTGCCAATAAAAAAGGGGTTTAAGCAATTTGTTGAGATAAAACACTATAACGCGAGCAGTAGGAACGAGACAGAGGTGATTGGGTTCGCAATCGACGTTTTCGAGGAGGTTGTTAAGAGATTGCCGTATGCCTTACCCTATGAGTTTGTGCCCTTCAATGGATCCTACGACGAACTAGTGGACCAGGTGTACGTCAAGGTGAGGGACTACTAAGTATTTCTCTTCTTCTTTCATCATCCCAGCTTTATCCAAACTGTTTTTCTCTTTCATATGCTTGATTAATTTTCATCATCCCAGCTTTATCCAAATTGTGTTTGGTTATTTGGTCTTATGATGATGAAGGACATTGATGCGGCGGTGGGAGACATCACGATTCTTATGAATCGTTCGGAGTATGTGGATTTCTCGCAACCATTTGCAGAATCAGGGATATCGATGTTGGTGAAATTGAAACCCAACAACTCAAAAAAGGCATGGATGTTTATGAGACCCTTCACAAAAAATATGTGGCTGGTCACAGGGGCCATCTTTATATACACGGGAATCGCGGTATGGTTCCTGGAACACAAGGTTAATCCCGACTTCAGAGGCCCCTTTAAAAAACAAATGGCTACCTTGCTCTGGTTTTCCTTCTCCACCCTCTTCTTTGCACACAGTAAGTCAGAGGGAAATCGTTATGCTACTAATCTTATATATGCCTGTGTATATATCCCCATAGTAATCAATGCAAGCGTTTATTAGACCGACCTGTAATCATGTTTAACTTTAATCCCATTGTGAACTATTCTTTGGACAGGAGAGAGGCTGAGGAGTAATTACGCAAGGGTAGTGTTGATAGTATGGCTGTTTGTGGTGTTGATATTAACCTCGAGCTACACTGCCAGCCTCAGCTCCATGCTCACTGTTCAAAAACTCGAGCCTGCAGTCACAAGCAAACAACAATTGTTGAGAAGTGGAGCCTCGGTGGGGTGCGAAAGAGACTCCTTCGTCTCCAGTTATATGAAAGAGGTGCTCCAATTCGACCAACACAACATAAAACCATATCAATGGGAAGACGAATTTTCTCAAACCTTGTCAAATGAGACCATAATGGCTGCCTTTCTTGAAGTCCCATACCTCAGGCTTCTTCTATCCGAGAAGAATTGCAAGGGCTTCACCACGGTTGGGCCAACTTACAAAACCGGGGGGTTCGGCTTCGTAAGTCCTGCTTCTTTAACCTAGTCTTTGTCTCGAATTTTCCATTTTGATTGATACTATATAACACCATGGTATAATTGGTGATGCATAATAATTACATGGTTATGTATCAAAGCAGTCGTCCACAGCCAAAGGATGGATGTTAGGCTATATGTTCTATCACTCAATCTTAGGAGGTGTTTAACTTGGTTGTTGTTTGTGTTCATTCCATAACACGACACATACACACCTTAAGATAGCATGCGTAAAATCTAGGAAACAATTTGGGTGTAAAATAATATCATGCTACCTTTTACATGACATTAAACCCGTTGCGCTTATTGAATTTTTCAGGTGTTTCCCCGTGGTTCTCCTTTGGTAGCAGACATATCGAAAGGGATTCTAGAGATATCAGAGAGTGGAGAGATGTTGCGGTTAGAAAACAAGTGGCTCCCAATGACCCAATGTTCATCTTCATCAACAAACATTAAGAACGAAGACAGGCTCAGTCTCGCAAGCTTTTGGGGCCTTTTCCTCATCACTGGAGGCATATCCACATTTATTCTTCTCTCATTTCATATGCATAGATATCTCATGGGTAAAACAGATGAAGGGGCAAGGGAAAGGAACCTCTGGAAACATATATTGATGGTTGCGCGACATTTGGATGCACAACATGGAAAGGTGATGGTAATGGAATTGACTCAAGGGGGCACCTCCGATTTAGAAGCTAATGAAGATGCTAGGACACATGCCAATACTTCTAATAGATCAGACAGTGGAAATTTAGAAGCTAATGAAGATGCTAGGACACATGACAATATTTCTAATAGATCTGACAGTGGAAATTTAGAAGCTAATGAAGATGCTAGAACACAAGACAACATTTCAAATAGCTCATACAGTGGAAATCTCGCAAACCACCCTGTTGTGCCACCAAGTTCGCCTGTTAATTGATGATGTACTATTTGTTTTGCTAACCAGTGGGGGGGGGATTCTTCATAGATATAATGTAAATGACTTTTCTTAGCTAGAAAGGCATTAAGATGCGGAAGACTTTCATAGATAGAAGTGTCATATTACTGTATATGAGTTGTACACCATGCCTCTCGTAACAATTTGTTTTTACCTACAATACTGAAAGAACCACCAAAAGGTTTACGATTTTTCTACCAATATTCCTTCTCTCTCTAATTTTATATTTCCCTCAAAAGTTTTTATGGTTTCGGAGCCTCCCTTTCCTCCAAGCTGATTACAGCCCATCCATTCTCCACTTCTTTGTTTAAATGGTGTGATTCTCTCCTCATTTTGTATCTATTCTTTTCTATAAATAAGTTTACGCTTTTGAGAATATATTCGTCTTGATGTCAAACCAATTCAAAAGACTGGCACCAATCCGGGGCAACCGCTCTTATATTTTGCTATGAAAAGTATTTGGTGTTATTTCAAAATAATATTTTTTAAAGGGTGCAGTTGGCATACGGATGCATCGTAGCTGTAGAGGTACGGTGCACCTTCAAATTTTGTCATGATATATATTTTTAATGTTAAATGTTCTTAGGACTATCTCAAAATCTATTTTAATATCTAATTATAAAATTTTAAATTTTAAAAATGGTTAAAATCAAGTAGATCTATAAACATATGAAAATCTTAAAAATGGACAGTGTAGATAATATGTGGTAAAATACACTATTTCTGAGACTTAAAATCTTTTTATTAAAATCTTTTTATTTTTCATGGTCATACATCTTGATGTCGAGATTATCAGGGTCTTTCAACATTAAAACTACCTTTTCCGATGGATTTTTGAGGTGCATCAGTAGTTCTACATTATAAGGTTGCATCGTTATATAAACTTTTTCCTTTTTAAAATTATAGTGTACTTTGAAAGTGTATTTTTGTTTTTTAATTGTTTTTTTCAAATGTTAACAATTACTTTCATTAATTTAAAAGGAGCAAAGTTCCATAAGTATGATAAGTAAAAGAGAAAGTAGAGAAATACATAGGTAGATCCTCCAATAAAGATGATCGACTGCAAATAGCAAACACTTCCTAACCCTGGTCTTGAAAGGATCCTACACCCCCAACTGCAAATCAACCCCAACTAAGCCTCAATAACCAGTTGTCACAGGCATCCTCCACAACAACCTCTATAACCCGAACAACACTCCTAATTTCAACATTGTTATAACAGACCATCCCTTAAGCAATCACTTTAGAGGCCGAGGTTGGATGCGATGCACAATAGAGGTAGCAGGAGAGAGAGAGATCGAAGAAAACAGCAGGAGAGAGGAGGAAAGAGAAAAAACCCTATAGCCATCAATAGAGGTGATCGTCAGTGGAAGATGGCCACCAGTGGAGATGGTCACCAGAGGAAGTGGTTGTTGGTGGAGGTAGCCACTCACTGATGGAGGCGGTTGCTCCCGAGTATTCTCATTCTTTTTCTTTTTTATCTTATTTATAAAGAGAGAAGCAGAGTTATTTATTAAACGATAAGCGAGTCATGTTTAAATGCGGAGATATCCTCTTCACTTGTAGTGAGTCATGTTTAAATACGGAGATATCCTTTTCACTTGTAGTTTAATATTGAAGAGAAAAAAAAAGCCTCTACAGAAAGTATGGATGGATAAGACCTCAAGGGGTTTAGGCGCATTCTGCATGAGGAGCCCTTAGCGCTTAACCTATGAGCATGTTGGGCTCGAGGCTTGACACCCTTATACTGCCGTGGGCATTGTCAATAGTAAGGCAAGAGAAAATTGCAGTAATTTGGTACTGATAATGCGATGCTTCACTGTTTAAAGAAGAGATGTTTCTTTATTGCCCTTGCTGCCACCAATGGAGATATGGCCAATTACCATTGTTCACCTGCTTTTATCGTGGAGGATGAAGCACGTTACTTTTTGTGACAGTGGGTTTTTGGAACCCAAAAAAAAGCCTTTAACTGTTGGGAATCCAATTGCATGTCAATTGCAACTGATGAACCATTTTTAAAGGTTATGATTAAAGATTGAAGAGTTACAACTCTTCATCTTACTTGTGCATTGAAAGACACATGGAGAGGATGTAAAAAGGAATTTTCTCTCTTTGTAAATGTAAAAAGGAAGTTTCCGTCTTTTAAGTGCGAAGTTTTCTACTATTCAAAAGTATTATTCTGAAATTTTTTTCTTTAGATTAGAGACAACTTTGGTGATCTACTTCTCGCAGTATTTGTATTGGTGAGATAATATACATAATTTTTTTATATTCTAAAGACAAATTTGTCTGGAGAACATAGAAATATAGTGATTAACATCAGTAAGGAGAAATATTTTATTGAGAAAGCAGATATTATATACCTAGAATCAAAGATTCTTGTTTTAGGTTCACCACAAAAGTTTTCTCTCTCACATTATTTTACCCTTTTTCACCCACTGTTTCCCAATAATACCATATAATGTTTGGATGAAACATGGAGTCCATCAAGGTCATACACATTGCCCGCTTAGCACACTACTCTAAAGAGTGCCAACACTAGAAGATGGCCTTAGAGCCCCAAAACCAAGCAAACTTAACCGCTAAGAAAGATGCATTTATAACTATGATCACAGAGATCAATTTAAATTGGAAATAAATTTGGTTGGTGGGTATATATAAGTGCTACCATCCATATTTATAACAACTCTAGTTGGCGGGTAGACACAGGTACTACCATCCATATTTATAACAAAATAGACTATTTTCATGAACTGATGGAGATGTGAACTTAGTCCAATTGAGAAGTCAAGCCCTAGTAAGAATGTTTGGTCTTTACACACAAATCTGAGACCAACCAAGGCTAGTGGGATTCTGATTTGTCCGAGATCATGTGCAACGTAGTTATTTAAAAGAGTTGAGAGAGTTGAGTCCCATCAAATTCAAATTTACAAAGAAATCAGCCTAAAAAACCTATTCTATACATATATGTGGCTAAGTCAGCTTAGATAGTGTGAAATTTGAAACAAACACATAAAATAAAATAACAAAAATAAAGAAAACGTGAAGAATAAATCTACTGAAGCAAATAAATATAAATAATGATAAACTAAGGAAAATGGTAGAATAAAGAAAATGATAAAAGAGAATAAGAACTAACTAAGAGAAGTAATGAAAATAACAAAAAAAAATAGAAATAAGAGATCTAATGAAGAAATAAATAAAATAATAAAGTTATAAAGAAAAGTAAAATACAAGAAAGAAAGAACTTGAAAGCTTAGCCCTTAAGCCCGGCACCCAAAGTTGTGCCTAAATCAGATGACAAAGAGAACTCCTTACTCCTCGATCTTCGAAACTAATGACCTGATTGAATGAATGAGCTCTGGGGAAAGATAGATGCCTAAGAATTTCACATCTACGGCTTTTGTTGACTTGAAAATGACTTATTTTGATCTTTAAAGTTGATGGAACAGGGTTTCTGGAACTAGGGTTTCAATGGCTTGAGTTGGAGTTTTACGGGCTACAGGTTTTCATGAGTAGGAATTAGGGTTAGGGTTTCTGTTCAGGTCTAAAACTACTGAAATAGCTAGAAAAAATAACTTCTTTAGGCAAAATACGCTTCAAAACAAGAAGACAGTGGTCCGAACCAGTTCGGATGTGCCATATGTCCTCTACCGCGACTTGCAGTGTAGGATTTTCTCTTATCCGTGTCATATATTAGAGCGGTTATCTGTCTCTTCCCTATTTCTTGGTAGTCTTGATCAAAACGTTGCACTGAATCTAATGGTGATGATCTAATCAAATTTGGATGTGTTTAGATCATCGCGATACATGATTGCTCCTTCTTAAGTTATAGAAGCTGCCTAATTTGAAAATCTGGTTTCCTTACTGGGAGATCCTAAGGTTTTAACCTGTCTGTCTTGGGATTTAGGATTATTTGGCTTCTAAAATGGGATTATTATGACATTTAAAAGATCTCAAGAACATTAAAGAATATATGGATTTCCTTGATTTTGGAATCTATGGGACATTGGGATATTTGGGATTATTTAATTTCCTAAAATAGGATATTTAAGGAAAATAGAATATATAAGGGATATTCTGGGCTAGATTATGGTTTGGACATGACTATGGTTAAGAACATCTTATGGTGTACTAGGAAAGTGTGCTTCAGGGTTTTAAAATTTAGAAATAAAATTGAATTTTTTTATTTTTTTTGGGGGGGGGTGTCTACCCAGGCACAACGGATCTGAAATTTAGTTCGTGTAAAGTTCTCACTTTAAATAATATGTTTTATGTGCCGGAAATGAGCATGAACTTAGTGTCATGAGATTTGCTTAAGAAGCACAGTTTCCAAATGGACATAGGGTCTGATAAGATCATTTTGACCAAGATGTATTTATCTAGAACGGGTACTGTTTAAACCCGATTTGAGTAATGAAATAAAGAACTTGTCTTCGTATCTTGTGAGTGTATGTACTCTTTGGAATGCTAGATTAGGTCATTTGAAATTCATTTCAATTAAAACCATGTTTAGATTAAGTATTATTCTTGAATGTAGTAATATATCTAATTTAAAATGTGAAACATGTGTACAAGTCAAAATAACAAGAAAACCTTCTTCATATCTTTTGAGTGTATTTACTCTTTGGCATGTTAGATTAGGTCACTTGAATTTCATTTCTATTAAAGACGTGGTTAAATAACGCATTATTCCTGAATGTAGTAATATATCTAGTTTAAAATGTGAAACATGTGTACAAGCCAAAATAACAAAAAAACCTTTCCCTTTGGTGGAGAGGAATACTGATTATTATGGCTTCTAGATAGTGATATTTGTGATCACAATAATATTCTCCCAAGAGAAGAAAAAAGATATTTCATCACATTCATCAATTATTTATCTTGGTATACATGTTTATTTGTTAAGGAATAAAGATGAGTACTTGAGAAACTCAAAATATATAAAGTTGAAGTAGAAAATCAACTTGAAACAGAACCAACATCAAGATTTTGAGGAGTGATTGGGGCGGGATTATTTGTCAAATGAATTTTTTAATTTTTTTTAAAAACAAGGGGTTCATCATTCATGTTACAGCCTCGTATACGCCTCAACAAAATGGCTTAGCCGAGAGAAAGAACATGATATTGGTGGAGGTGGTCAATACTATGATCATCAATTCTGATTTACCTTGATGACGCTTTACTTTTTACGTATTTTT